TTCACCCAGAGGGTTATCATAAAAGAGGAAGACCCTTGACAAGGTGGGTTTGCACAGTGAATGCAACAGAGGGCTCCATCGGGATGATTGTGAGGAGGTCGCAAGCCCTGGCAGTGTTGCTCTGTTGGACAAAGGGTGGCTGTGAATTGGAGCTGACTTGATGGCATCTAACAACAGAACAGGTCTGTACTAAACGCTGATAGGTCAGGGGTGCAAGGCAAACCTCCCTCAATGCACTGAGCAAAGACAGATTCAGACAGGTTGAGGACAGTAGTTATTTTTTTCTTTTTAAGTGGCATTGACACTGTTGCCCATGAGGCTTTTTTGGCTGACATCATGAAAGGAATTTTGCCTAATGACTATGGAGACCCACCAATTCAGTTGTTCAGAAATTGCAGGTAAATGCCTGGCCTGTCATATTCCAATGGCTGTCCTCTTCTATCTGAGTGGCAGCTTTTGTTTCTAGACTTCCTGGCGCAAGTGTGAGGACCCCTTGGAGCGTGTGTTTGTGTGTGCTTGCACAGTCCCATTCAGAACCTTCTCCACCGAGCAAATCAACAGCCATGTAAGGATGTGCCATCTTACATCGTATAACTTAGGAAGCACATCTATGGTGTTCACTCCTTTTAGAGAACTCCTGAGATCGATCAAACGTGTGTTGTCATGTAAAATCCAATTTTACTGCCAGAATTGATGTATTTCACGCCTCTGAAATACAGTGACGTCATCTGGACAGCAGAGAAAGCATCCTCTCATGGCCGTTCCATCTGCTGTATGGGTTCAAAGCCCTCGCTCGGTGCTAGACGAACAACGGCATTTTTCTGGATATCAACCTATATGATTTTGCTACAGAAGTGTTTTTATCCCTATCCTTCCTGCTATATAGTGAAAATGATTATCTTAGTGGGATGTGTGTGTTGGGGAAAGGGAGGGTTCGAAGTAACATCAAAGACCAGGGCAAGCTTTGAATGATCTTGAACAGATCATTTGCTTCCAAGATCTCTTTGAAGCAATACATTTTTTGACGGCTCAATTTTCACTACAATTTCAGTTACTACTGCTTATCTTATCTCTGTTTCTTATTACTCCGAATAAATCGACCTAAACACAAGCAAACAAACTCACTGTCATTGAGTCAATTACCACTCATCGTGACCCCATGGGACAGGGAAGAGCTGCTCCCCCGGCTTCTGAGACTGTAGAATAAATAAAAGGATTTCCAGGGAAATGTACGCAACACCCCAGTGTTACTGCTTTAACATGTGCACTCCCACTTATTGTAAAAACCAGTTGCCTGGTGGTGACCCCGGGGCTCAGAGGGAGTAGAACTCTGAGACTTTGCAATTTCAGTGGCTGCTGTTACGGAGTAGGTCACCAGGTCCCCAGGATGGACTTGAACCCACAGCCTTTCCACTAGCAGCCAAACATGTCAGTCGTTGGCCCAACTCTGGACTCCTGCTCTACAGGCCCCCTTTTCTTCCCACCAGAGGAAAAGTGAGCCAAGACTGTAGCACTGCCTTGACATAATGGGCCTGGAAATGGCCTCAGACGTCCCTTTTGGTGCTAATAAACTAAGAGTGCACAGCACACTTTAACATCCCCAGACGTTTTAGAGCCACTCATAAGTCCGGTTTCCTCCATTTATTAATTTAAAAGTTCAGGGATGGCAAACTTTTTTGGTAACCCCCCTCGGAAAAAACAAAACAAAAAACAACCTAAACCTATTGTCACCAAATTGATTCTGACTCATAGTGACCTTTTAATTTAGAAACAAAGGCAAGCATGATGGTGGTGTTTTGCCACCTACCTGGCTAAGATTATATTTTTTTCTGAGCGACAACTAATATTCAGTGAGAACTCTGAATATGTGAATTTACTACAACTTTTGAATGTGTGTAAGATTAGAATTGATAACAATTCCTTTAAAACTGTTCATGAGTTTTGAATGTTTATTTACAAAATGGAAGGATTAAAAGCGTTTATTTTGCTCAAAAACAGCTAATGCTTTTGAAACTCTAATAAATTGTAAGAAACGTCAGTGAAACTCAGGAAGCCTTGAACATTTTGAGTTTCCGATTCTATCTTCCACTTCTGAGAGCCTTACACACTCCTGGATGGAAGTGTGTAGACAATATATTTACTCCTGTCCACTAGCTGTCTTCTTGTGAACACACATTGCTCCCACACTTCGTAGTGGTTATTGGAATAAATGATGTACATTTATTTGTATTATAGTGGAAACTATGAACAGTTACACTTTTTTGTATACAGCATACAATGAGTCCTAAAGTGGCACTTGAAAGAGCAACATGTTATATAGTTGTAAGTAAACATAGTGATCTAATCTGAGTGCCCTCTGGTTTAACATCACTCCTACATTGGACCCTCCAATGTGTTTTTCCTAGTTCTCGCTCTTTTTTTCTTCTGCATATACACACTTCATAACAGAGTAAGTATCTGAGAGTTTTCTATCATGAGAAGTCCGTGCGTATGTTTGATGTTTAACTCCCGCCCACAGTGTCTTGAATTGCGGGGCTCCTTGCTGCCGCACATGGTTCTGGTGTTCTGCCCTACTGTGTTGATGGCAGGGTGGTAGTCATGTGCATGAAGGACTCCTGGGGGTGCTGTGGTTAAGTTCTTGGCTGCTTACCAAAAGGTCCAGGGTTTGACTACACCAGCTGCTCCAGGGGAGAAAGATGTGGCAGGCTTGGAAACCCTACGGGATAGTTCTGCTCTCCATAGGGTTGCTGCAATTTGAGATCCACTTGTCAGTGATGGGATTGGTTTTGAATTGGGTGTGTGCGTCTGATATTTTTATATAATTCTTCCAGCGTGTCTTGCTCTTGTGTTTCTTTAATGCCCTGCCCCATTGATCTCTTCCTGGGTCTCATTGACGTTTCTTACAATTTATTAGTTTCAAAAGCATTAGCCGTTTTTGAGCAAAATAAACGCTCTTAATCCTTCCATTTCGTAAATAAGCATTCAAAACTCATGAACAGTTTTAAAGGAATTGTTATCAATTCTAATCTTACACACATTCACAAGTTGCAGTAAATTCACAAGACATCAGTGCATGCTCAGCATTAAACGTTGTGGAAATCGTAAGCTTCTTTGCAGGAAGACTTGGTAAAAGATTAATGAGCGCAGTTGTTATAAATAGTCACAAACTACCTGTCTTTTGCCAGTGTAAATATGATAAACAAACAGATGTGACTTGCAGGTGATGGTTGGTGCCGACATATTCCCTAGTGGCAGCGGTGCTCAAAATTGATGCCAATCTGGACTTGGAGAAATACATCAACCTCTCCACTTCCCTCTCCCACTTACAAGGCTGTTTGCGCGTGGAGGCATGAAAAAAATTTTGACTGGTTAAATGAGTAAAACGTCACCTGGATTCTAAGTGTTAAGCTCCGGTCTTCAATAACTTATCATTAAATAAAACATTAAAGAATAGATACTTATTTGGAGCATTTTGAAAGCACAGAACACAGAAAAACTAAAATTACCTATAATCTGTATGCAAATGAAAGTACCTGGTGCATTTCTAGTCTTTTCATATGCAAATGTATATATTTTACATAATTAAAATTGTGTGTTATGTGAACATTTTCCTGTCGGCACACTCTTTTATTTTACTTTAAAAATCTACTTTAGTAAAGTATAATGTATGCGCACTAAAAACGCACCTATTTTAAGTGTGGTTTAATGGGCTTTGACAAGCGTGTGCACGCTCCGCTCCCCACCAGACCTGTCGCTGCCCTGTTGCTTGTTCTAGAAGCACGTCTATGAGAGGGGATTTGAATGCGTTTGTGAAAAAATTGTTATCTTTCTATTTCAGTTTTCCACAAGCTTCTGGAAACTCCCTTGTCTATAACTAAAATCATAAAGTCTGTGTTTTTTGTGTCTGGGCTTTTTTTCTCTTGCTGTGAGAGTTTGGCATTCGTCCATGTTGTGTTGCTGCGGTGAGTTCTACTTCTGAGGAAGGCTCTACTGTCAGGACCTTCCACAGCTTATCTGTTCGCTGTCGGCTGGTTGGCTTGTTTTGTTTGGGGTCATGCATTCATTTAGGGCATTCATGTATTCGTTTTGTCAGATAATTTTTTTAATTCATTTTAGGGAAATAGACGTACAGTTGAACTTCTATGGCCCCCATGGAAGTGTATGCATAGCTTTTTTTTCCCTCTTTAATTGTGGCAATATATGTATATAACAAAACATCGGCTGTTCTAATGTTTTTGTTTGTGTACAATTCAGTAACATTCATTACTTTTACTATGTTGTCCATCCATCACGGCTATCAATTTCCAAATATTTTCATCACATTTTAATAGAAATTCAGTGCCCCTCAAACAAGAGTCTCCCCTTTCCCCTTACCTCAGCTGCCCTGGAATGGCTAATTCACTTTGGCCTCTCTTCATTTGCCTGTTGTGTATATTTCATATAAGTGCCTGTTTTAATATTTCATGTAAGTGTTGTACATATTTCATATAAATTTATTTTTTTAATCATTTTATTAGGGGCTCATACAACTCTTATCACAATCCATACATATATCAATTGTGTAAAGCACATTTATACATTCATTGCCCTCATTATTCTCAAAACATTTGCTCTCCGCTTAAGCCCCTGGCATCAGCTCCTCATTTTTCCCCCTCCCTCCCCGCTCCCCCCATTTCATATAAATTTCATACAAAATTTGTCCTTTTGTTTCTGCCCACCAATTATAAGTCTCTCGCTGCAGAATAAATTTTTTCTCATGTTTTTTGGTTTATTTACAAGGAGGGGTGGGAGTTAAGACCCACTTCTTTCCAGAATCCCCTATAGTGTATGTTTTGAGAACCCATCAGAAATTCTTGACATTCTCAAAGTTTCCAAATAGCAACATGAAGATAAACATTTAGGGGATTAGGCTATCAAGTTATGACGTTTCTATTAAAAGAGTTAAGTTCACGATACAGATGTATTCATACCAATCATGTGTTTTTCTTTTTTTCCATTTCAGATGTCTGCTTAAAGTGGATCTTATGCCAAAGACATTTCATTGTGGGTTTGTCTAAGGTGAGCTAATTTATTAATACATTTTTCCTTTTAAGTATATTTTATCATTAGAATTCTTTCTGACAAAACAAGTCAAGAGATGGCTGAATGCCTTCCCCTCTGAGGGTTTTAATTGGAAGCAAATGTTATTTATTATAAAGCTACTTCTGTATACTGCTTGTGTTTAGTTGTGTAGGATATATAATTGGAAGAAATTAAGTTGTCTCTAGCATATGATAGTTTTGAGTGAATTTTGATATTTTTCATATTCAAGCATGGAGTCACACTTCTATTCCCTTGATGCACACCTAAGGAAGATATTGGTATTTTAACCTGGTATTACAGAAGGCAAATGTTCAGAGATTCCAACAAGTGATTAGTATCTTAATAGACCCATTTTTCAGGGTTCCCTACCTCTGTGTTTTCTTTGATTTGCTTGCTCTCTGTTGTTCCTTCTGCTTGGTGGACATACCCTTTAGGGCAGTGGTTCTCAACCTGTGGGTCGCGACCCCCAAAGGGGGTCGAAGGACCCTTTCACAGGGGTTGCCAAAGACCATCGGAAAACACTTATTTCTGATGGTCTAAGGAACTGAGACACCGCTCCTCTATCCTTTTCCAGACGGGCCGCCCACATGCAGATACGCCCCCATACGAGTACCCGGCGTGAAGGGTACATATGCTATACCATGCTTCAAGACAACATTTCATTTATTTGTCATTAGAAATAAATATTTCAAAAAAAAGAAGAAAGAAATATTTCCCAGTAAATAATGACATACTGTTTTTGTGATTCATCACTATGCTTTCATTATGTTCAATTTGTAACAGTTAAATCCATCCTGCATATCAGACATTGACATGATGATTCATCTCAGTAGCACAATTACAGTGATGAAGTAGCAACGAAAATAATGTGATGGTTGGGGGTCACCGCATATGCGGGACTGTCTGAGAGTGTCGCAGCAGCAGGCAGGGTGAGGCCCACTTCTGCGGGGTGTGAATGGTTGGCGTCCATGGAACAGTTTGCCCCCGTAGAAAGCTTTGGCAGCTAGCATTGAACTCTAGAAATCGGATCACGGAGCCCTTTCCCTTTTCTTGACTATCTTGGCTAACATCCCCTTGATCTTTTTTTCCCCTTCTTCTTTTTGGTAAATCTTTTGTCTGGTGTCTCTGTCTTGAGGCCAGCTATTCTCTACGCTTTTCTCACTGTCGCCCGAATCTTTTTTCCTTAAAGGGTAAATGCCATCATGTCTGTCTCTTGCTCACAATCCTCCAGTATCTCTACATTGCCAGACAGATGTTTCACAAAATTCCTTTCTAGAGCAGTATCTGCTAGGGGTTTACTTGTGGGGTTGCTAACTGCAAGGTCAGCAATTTGAACCCAGCTACCACTCCAGGGCAGAAAGGGGCTCGATTCCTGTAAAAGATGGACTGTTTCAGAAACTCTCAGGACCAGTTCTACTCTGTCCTGTAGGGTTGCTATGGGAACGGAATCGACTCCATGCAGTGGGTGGTAGTTGATTGTCATATCATAGGTATCATGAGCTAACAGTTTAAAAAAACCAGCTTTATTGATATAAATTCATATACGATACATCCCTTCATTTAAAGAACACAATTCAATGGGTTTAATTTTAATTCAGCGGTTCTTATGAATTCATGGAATCCAGCACATTTTTGTCACTGTCCAAAGGCACTGGTACTCAGTAACAGTCTTTATCCTTTCTTCGCTCTGCTGAATCCCTGTACAATCTTAATCTACGTTCTTCTCTACGGATTTGCCTGTTGTGGCTGTGGCCTCATTTGGAGGCACTGTGGAGGTAAATAGCTCATTGGAGGCCATACCCATAATGTTAGTCTGGGTTGACTAGAGAAACCAATCCAGAGGCACTCAGATGTGTGTAAGAGAGAGTTTTATATAAAAGAGTAATTGTATATTAAACAACATCCCAGTCCAGATCAAGTCCATAAGTCTGATATTAGCCTACGTGCCCAGGGCCAATCTATAAATTCCTCCTCAGACTCACGCAACACATACAATGACGCCCCATGCTGGGAGATCACAGGCCAGTGGGTAGAAAGTCTTATGGATCCAGTGGTGGTAAGTATTTCAGCACTGGCGTGGGTCTCCATCTGGCTCCTCCATCTCCAGGGCTCTGGTTCCATCAGTGTGTCTCCAGGTGGTTTGTCAACAGGAACACAAAGCAGAGAGAGTGGGTCTGGCCTCCTATGAGCTATTTTTTCTCCATAACGCCTCCAAATGAGGTCACCAAGCTGCGGCCCCGATTGACAGACTAGACTCCACCCCTTTGCAAGTCCACAGGAGATTATGTAACTGCCACACCTATTCTCTATATTTATATAATAAATGGAATCATTTAGTACGTGATCTTTTAAACATTTAACATTAACATGATCCTATTCAAGGATCATCCATGTTTCACTCCACATTGGTATTCATTCCTATTTATGGATAATGTTCCAGTTCCTGGATATCTTTCACTTTGTTCATCCATTGGTCAGCCGACGGACACTTGGGTTGGTTTGTCTTTGTCTGCTATGATGACTTATGGTTCTGAACATTCATGCAGACATTTCTTGTGTGGACATGTTTTCATTTTTCATGGGTGTATACATGTGAGCAGTAGAGTTGCTGTATCCTCTGCTAACTACATGCTTAACATTTTAAGGAACTGCTGAAACATTTTTTAAAGAGGCTACCCCACTTTGCATTCCTCCCAGCAATTAAGAGGCTTCCCATTTCTTCCCATCCTTGCCAAGTACAATTGGTTTTTGTCATTAATCTTGTATCTTGCAACCTTGCTGAACGCATTTATTAGTTCTAATAGTTTTTAATGGATTCTGTAGCATTTTCTAGCTAGAAGATCATATCGGCTATGAATAGAGATGGTTTTCCTTATGCCTTTTTAATCCAGATGCCTTTTGTTCCTTTGTCTTGCCTAATTACTCTGGCTTTAACCTCTGGTACAATGTTGAATAGAAGTGGGGGCCATGGACATCTTTGTTTTCTTCCTGATCTCAGGGGAAGAGCTTTCAGCTTGTCAGCATTAGGTTTGCTTTGGATTTCCTGTGACTGCCCTTTCTCAGGTTGAGGGAGTTTCCTGTATGCCTAGTTCGTTGAGTGTTTTTGTCATGAAAGAACATAAGCTAGCATTCACTGAAGTATTTCTCTATACGTGAGGCCCTCTGCTAAGTGCTTTGTCGCTGTTCTGTTTGGTCTTCACAGCAGGCCCATGAGGTGGAGGCTGCTATTTTGTCCTCATTGAAACTGATACGCCATAGGAGCAGATTGTTTATTTCAAAGCTTGTACGCACCATTATTATCCTGTATGTTCCTTACGTGAACCATGCCGAGTTGCACTTGTGCTCTTACAGATGCTGGTTTTCTGCCCCTAGAATCCTCCCTCTCCCTCCCCTCACCGAGTTGATCATAAACCCACCACAGTGCCTTCTATGCATTGCTCTGATAGTACCCTTCCCACTGGCTCGTGATTGTTTATAAGCATATGTTTTGTTTTAGAATGTGTCATTTTTGAGCTCTCAGGGTATTGTGAAAAGCCAGGAAAGCATTTTATTTCAGAAGCCAAGAGATTCGAGGATTTCAGGAGCCTTGGCAGAGGGCAGCAGTGTCAGATACCGAGGAGAGAGCAAAGAAAATGTTTACATGTGCATATTTGTGGAATGCGTTTTGCATCTTGCTTTTTGAACTTCCTCTATCCCAGAGATCGCTCCACGCACATAGATCTATCCCCTTCAAGTCTGTAGCTGCAGGGTAGTTTGGAGCTGGAGATAGTCTAACTTAGGTGCCCAACATTTAGGTGCACGCCCCTCTTAATTACCATGAAAAGCCGCTTCCCTGAACAAATTAAACTCTGCCTTTTGTAAATCACAAAATCATCATCACGCCTTTGGTGTGTACCTTAATTCCATGTGTAATTCAGTACACAAATACTGTACAGTGAACAGAAATGTATCCTAAAGCAGGGCAGCCTTTAAATCATAAGGACATCTTAGTTTTTGGAAGTAATATTTGCAGTTTAAACAATTTTTTTTTATTTGTAGTTTTTATACTTGTTTTATTTCTAAAAAGAGCCCTGTGTCCAGGTATCTGCTCCTTTGAGCAGTGCTGTGGCACACATTCCCCTGCCTGACTTCGGCAGGAGATGCACACGAGAGTCTGAGGTGTACAGCTCTGAATAGAATGGTCGGGTTAAGGCAGCGGTTTTCAACCTGTGGGTCGCGACCCCTTTGGGGGTCAGATGACCCTTTCACAGGGGTCGCCCGATTCATAACAGTAGCAAAGCTACAGTGATGAAGTAGCAACGGAAATAGTTTGATGGTTGGAGGTCACCACAACATGAGGAACTGTATTCAAGGGCCGCGGCCTTAGGAAGGTTGAGAACCCCTGGGTTAGAGTATGCTGAGTTTTAGTCTTAAAGAAATATCACACAATGTATTTCCAAAGCGATTCCCCTGTCTTACATGCCTACCAGAAATACATGGGAGACCCTCTTGATTTCCAACCTCTCTCCAACTTTTGGTGTATTCATGCTTTAATTTTCCTGGTTGAATGAGATCTAATGGCTTCTAATGTGATCTTCTAAAACATGTTTGAAATCGAAGTATTCTTTTTCAGCTATGCAGTCAAATGCAGAGATCTTAAATGTACAGGTCAGTGACTTTTCCCAAAAACTCTGTGAAAATGTTAGAGCAGTTTCGTTATCCCCAGCATTCCCCGAGGTCTCTGTCTCGGCGTTCTTTAACTTTGCCAGAGGCCACCAGGCTCCGGGTGTCTCTCATGGTCGCCTTGTTTTGCCTCCTCAGGAACATCATATGAATGTGCTCTCAAATGTGCAGGTAGTGAGTTTGGCACAACCAACATAGAGATGCACATATGGGTGGTTAAGCAAATTGGTGTCTGGGTTGGTCCAAGTGTGCATGTAGGGGAGAACATAGTACACCCAAATGCCGGCCCATAGATTCACTGAAGACACTTGGTC